ACTTGTCTACACATTTTAATTTCCTTAATTTAGCCATTAAACATCTAGTTTAAATGATCGAGTTGATTGAAGTATCTATTGGAGAGTTTTCTTTTCCAACAGTAAGTGATTTGGTCCATCACAAACCAAATCTCTCTGCAATTAGTAACAGTTTTCATGCCGGAGCTTTTAATGGCCAGACAGAGGTTTCCATGTCATATCCCCACATTGACATACATGTAGGGATTCATCTCAGCCAAAACATTCCTTTAGCAGCCTTCTGAGTTTGCATGTATTACAAGAAACAGAACGTTTATAGCAGTTAAGTGTCACATAAATCTTTCAACACGTTAATTGAAGATTTGCACCAACCACAACCTTCTCTCCACAGCTGCTATAACACATTGCGCAACTGCTGATGGGTCGACCAGCTGCAAACCAAATTTTACACCCACTTGATAACGTTATTAGGACACACACATGGTGCCTCTGTGGGTTGCTGCTGCCGCTGCTAGTTTGCTAGACAGCTCCAGTGGGACTGTGTAATGTAGTCGTATGTAAACACAAGTCATCTTCCCGAGAAAAATGCTCTGAGAGGAACCAGAACTGTGTACTTTCCTCCAGATGAACATTATTTTCAGCAGCAGCCTCAGGTAGAGGTTGCGGGAGGCGGCTTGGCTGGGTAACCCCTTCAGTTCACTCCTGAACTCTGGTATGCAACGGTTTGTGAACAAAGCTTTTGAGGATTATGTGCTTTTATTTTTAGTAAGATTCACCTTCCAGCTGATTATGGAGAACCCAGCTCTAATCTTCATTCTGAAAGAACAACTTCTATCAGAGCGTTGAGTTCAAAAAGTGTGCAGCTCTGTTAAACTCTGGAGGGCTTTTTCACGGCTCAGCAGTTAATGTACCACTTAAAACTGATGTATTCCACCTCCCTCCCTGTCTTTCTGCTCCCTGTCCTTCAAAGCTTTGCAGTTACCTGCTCTTCGTACTATTATCTTTCCCGACCACACTCCCTGTTACTCCTCTTTTTTTTTTTAACCCTCTTTCTTGTTTTAATTGCCACAGAACCTGAAGAAGGAAATCAATGTTTTTTGATTATGTGCCAAAGCTGAGTCAGTAGGAAAACTATGTGGTACAGTACAATGGATTGAGTCTGAGTGGGAATATTGGTACAGAGTTTCCCACGCCTGTTTAGGGGAAAAATGTGTTTACAAAAAAAAAGCAGTCTAGGTGGGCATTTGTAACAATTTGGTAAATAAATTATTATGTGAGGTATAAACACCTTTATGTTTGGTATTTTATTTTGTAACTAAAGAAACAATGTTAAGAGAAATCATAAGCTCAATTCAATTCAGTTTGTTTCTATAGCGCCAATTCACAACACATGTCATCTCAAGGCACTTTACAGTTCACCAGATCATAGAGTCAAATTGATTCAGAGTTTTCTATCTAAGGAAAACCAGTTGATTGCATTAACTCAAATGCAATCCCTCACACTAAGCATGCTTGTAGCGAATGTGGAGAGGAAAAACTCCCTTTTAACAGGAAGAAACCTCCAGCAGAACCAGGCTCAGTGTGAGCGGGTGTTGATTGCAGCAGCACAGTGATACTTCTCTCCAGGATGGTGTCACCGCCAAATTAGAGATATATTGCAGCAACATTACTTCAGTAGAGGATGAAATTTAGTAAAAATTGCAGGTGCTTGATGTTGTTGTCATTGTTGGCTTTCTAATGAACCAAAGTACTAAGTTAGTTAAAATGTAAATACATAAACATTTTAGCAAGGATAAGAAAATATTGGTGAAACTGCTTTAGATAGCAAGCACTTAAGTTAAGCATTAGCATTGTTTTAAAGATGCAAAAAAAAAATAAAAATAAAATAAAATTTAACACTATTATAGAAAAAGGGGCACCGATCCAGTTTTTTTCTGATTCAATCCGATACCTGGGCTGACCATATCGGCTGATATCCGACACAGATCCGATTCAACTGCCCAATAAATGAACAATGCATTGTACCATGTGAGCTAACGCTTTAGTCTTGACATAAACTTTGTTAAACTTGTTTAATTTATGTCTTTTATTAACAAATAAGCTTGCTGCTTATAGGAAAAATATTAGTTTCATGTAAAGTTCACTGGATTAGATCTCCAGTATCCGATATT